GCTTTAAAGATTCATGAAATTATTCTAAAATTCATGAAATTTCCTATTTCAATGCGTAAAATGAACCACAAAGTCCATTTTACGGAAACAAGAAATCTGAAGGATCATCAGCGGTGGACTAAGTGTCCCCAGAAAGTAGAGAATGAAAGATCCTTTTATATTCTCATTGAATTCGTTCGATAAATTCTGTTTCTCCTCGATCCTGTTGCGAAACCGATTAGATTACTCCGTCTCACGGATGCTATCCGCGTGTCAGAAGATTAGTAGGTTTCCAGGCACATAATTGCAGCCGCAGAGAAAGGCGTTAACCCGGCGAGAATCGTAACGATACTGAACCAGCACGAATTTATAGAAACGTCAGTTTGTAATTACGCGTCCGACTAGAATGCACCGAGCCGAGATACAGGGTGAGATACTTGCACGGAATTTACAGAATTATAGCAATTTATAGCGGCGCACGCGCTGCCCGATTGTCTACAACCATGTACACGATGAGCATATAAAAATCGATATCAGAAATTCATTTATGAATTCGTCATTAATAGTAGTTGTACATTTATTTTATTACTATTTGACAAGTCGACATTTATTTTCCTTTTATCATATAATAAGTTCGATAATGTTAATTGAACGATGAATTTATGAATTTATTATTATCATATTATTTGACGTATCAATATTTATTTTCTTAGCTTTATAATGAGGTCAAGAAGTAACATAGTTATTGCTCACCCTGTATACGTGTACCAACGTAAGTATGTACTTACATGTCCGCGTTGGAGCCTGATTTATGGCTTTGTTGAATAATTATTTAGCGAAACACACACGATTTCCCGCGGTATTCGACGATTTCCTATTACCTATCCCGATGAAATATCGCAGGCTGCTGCGCGCGGCTACGCGGATCGTGTGTATTTTGCTATCCTCGATAGTAACAACATTGCGGTCTATGACTGGAAGAGGGAAATAGCCACGGTGTTATAAAGTTACACAGGTCCGATCGTAACGCGATACACTGTATCGGTACAAGAAACAGTAGTTAGAGATCTTGCTTAGGGGGCGGGAGGAAAGAGAGAGAGAGAGAGAGAGAGAAAAAAAGGCAGGGCGGTGAAAACGGCATTGGTCGATACTGGCCGATGATAAAATTGCATTGCGGCCCAGCCTCCATTAGCCGGCTCGCGAATTTCGTACACTCACTTTGTATCTTTCCGTTCCCTCCACTCCCTCTGCTCTTTTTCGGTTCTTTGATCCCTGCCGGATCCTTGATACGCCGAATTATTTTTAGACACGCGTGCAAGTACGTGTATCGCGCTTATACGCGAATTTTCGTGCCGCTCGGCTCGCATTCCACTGATAACGCCGAATCGATCGTTCTATAATCGTTTTACGACTGTTTCTTACGCGATTTTCAATACGTCCGTGATTAAGATCCAAGGTAATTTTTTTCTCTTTCTACGTTCAGAGTTCGGTTATCTAATTTCTTGGTGAAATTCAGCCTGCGCTGCTCGATAAGATTGAGATCCGATGCCTGCGGTGACTATATCGTGTTTCCGAGCACATGCGCTTATTCTTAGCACTGTTGCCTGGAAAATCCTTGTGAATTTGCATAAATTATGGTTACAAGGAGAACCTTGTCTTGAGAACAATCGGATAAGTTTAAATCTCTCGTAAAATAGTCCACTTTCACTTAGCCTTTCAGCCATCTACACGATGTGTCAAATAAATATTTGATAAAGCTTACTGAATGAATAGATTGTTATGCTCTAACAAATCATTTTTAATGGAACCAATAAATATCGTTATTTTACATCCGACGACAAGATTTATTGAATCTATTTGAAGTCCAGATTTGAAAAGAAAATCGTTTTCCCGTAGAACACTTGGTGGTTTTATAAAGTGCGAGACAAAACAGTGGAACAGTCGCTATTTATAAATTGAACTGATTTTTTGTTATCGCCGATTCCAAGTAGCCGCGCTATCGGCCCAGCTGTCAATCAGCTCTCGACGTAACGACTCATGATCCGTCTGTCATGTTCGCGCTCCGGTTTTAACCCACCGTCCGATGAAATCAGTCGGTAATTAATCAGGGAAAAAGTAC